CTCGAAGCCTGAGAGTGGAAGTCCCGACCCCTTTTAATTTCTCTTTCTCGCTCTTCAGTGGGCCCCTCCTTCGTCAGTGTCTGAGCCAGCCCCCTGTGCACCTTCCCCAGCGCGGGCAGCCACCCCCGCGCGCCTCTCTGCCGCCCCAGCCAGCGCCCGCGGGGCCAGCACCACACAGCAGCCATGTCCGGAGGCTCGGGCTGGCAGCCCCGGCAGGCGCGGGGTCTGGGCTCTAGAAGGCTGGGAAGCGGAGGTCCGCTTGTGCTCTGAGGATTTCTGTTCCCTTCCTCGCTGAGTGAGGAAAAGTTTTATATAGTTGTAAAGACCGAGAATGGAAAGCACAGCTGCAAGGAAAAGATAAAATGACCACCCCAGACTCAAGTGGGATGACCACGAGGGCTGTAGTCAGCTGTTCCCATGTACTACACGATTGAGGAAGGCGCAAGTGGGCGTAGGGGTGGCCAGACCATCCCACATGGGTGCCGGTTCTAGGCCCGGCCGCCCCGCTGCACATCCATCTACCTGCTGAGCTCGGTGCCTGGTCCTGACCTCCCGTGGGAGACCCGGATGGAGCCCCAGGGCCCTGGCTGTGGCCCCTCTGCGGCCCTGCCTGAGCCTGGCGGAGCCCTGGCGGATGCCCGGTGTGGCCCTGCAAGATGCCGGCCTGGAGCCCTGGTTGAGGCCTGGGTTGGCCCTGGCTGGGGCCTGGGTTCTTGCTGCTCAACTTGTGATTCTTATGTATATTTGCAATGATGTCCAAAGTTAAAATTTGTGTCATAGAGGCGGGTGCCGTGGCTCCCTAGGTTAATCTTCTGCTTGCAGCGCCCCCATCCCATGTGGGCACCGGGTTCCAGAATCGGCTGCCACTCTTCCAGTCCAGGTCTCTGCTGTGGCCCGGGAAGGCAGTGGAGGATGGCCTGAGTGCTTGGGCCCCAGCACCCAAGTGGGAGACCCAGATGAAGCTCCTGGCTCCTGGCTTCAGTTCGGTGCAACTCTGCCCGTTGTGGCCATTTGGGGGGTGAAGCAACACAAGGAAGACCTTTCTCAATCTTTCTCACTGCCTAACTATATTTGTCAAAAAAAAAAAATGGTGTCATAAACAAATACAGTAAAATACAGTTGTCTACTGCTAGCATTTTTTGGGGAGGGGAGACAGGCAGAGTTAGCGAGAGAGACGGAGAGAAAGGTCTTCCTTCCATTGGTTCACAATGCAAATGGCCAGTAGGGCTAGCACACTGTGCTGATCCAAAGCCAGGAGCCAGGTGCTTCCTCCTGGTCTCTCATGCAAGTGCAGAGCCCAAGCACTTGGGCCATCCTCCACTGCCTCCGGGCCACAGCAGAGAGCTGGACTTGAAGAGGAGCATTCAGGTCAGAACCGGCACCCCAACCGGGAATAGAACGCGGGGTGCTGTCGTCTCAGGCAGAGGACTAGCCTAGTGAGCCATGGCGCCAGAGCTAGCTAGCCTTTTTTAGGCATTTTATGCTTTTTAAAGATATATTTATTTTATTTGAACTTCAGAGTTACAGAAAGGCAGAGGCACGGGGGGAGGGTGGGAGAGAGAGAGACAGGGAGAGATAGAGAGAGAGAGAGAGAGGGCTTCCATCCGCTGGTTCACTCCCCAGACAGCCCAGATTCGGGAGCTGGGCTGATCCAGAGACAGGCCCTCCTCAGCTGCTTCCCAAGGCCAGGGCAGCGAGCAGGATGGGAAGCAGAGCCCTGGCCTCAGCCCCTGCACCACAACACCCACCCCTGCAGGCATTTTAAATTCATTGCCCTAGGGGATAGCCACACCTAAAAGGGTGTTTCCTGGGCGGGGCTGCCAGGGGTGTATAAATGAAAGGCGCTGGCTGACTGCACATCAGAGTTCTCATCCACTCCCACAGCGAGGACAGCAGCTCTCCATGTCCACACCGTGAGTTTGCTTCGGCCTGTCAGTGGGCTGTTTGGTGTGTGGGGGCGCTTCGAGAAGGTCCCGGGGCAGGAGGCATTGTGGCATCTTTAGCTGGCCTTTGGGATACTGGTGTGCAGATGGAGCCCTGGCTACTCCACTTCCTCTCCTGCCTCCTGATATTGGTTTGGAAAGCAGCAGATGGTGGCCCAAGTATTTGGGTCCCTGTCCCCATGTGGGAGACCTGGCTGGAGTTCCAAGCTCTTCGTTTTGGCCTGGCCCAGCCTTGGCTGTTGTGGCCATTTGAGGAGTGAACGGGAGATGAAAGGTATCTCTTGGGTCTCCCTCTCTGTCATTCTGCCTTTCCAGTGAATTAATAAATCTTTTAAGGACATGGAAATGCATATAATGAAAACATGCATGGATTTTTTAAAAGTTTATACAAAACCTTATCCCTTTTTTTGTTTTCATTTTTGTTTCTTTCTGTTTGTTTTAAAACCTCATCTTTGATGGCTGGCACTGTGGCTCGCTAGGCTAATCCTCTGCCTGCAGCACATGTACCCCCGGTTCTAGTCCCGGTTGGGGTTCTGGATTCTGTCCCGGTTGCCCCTCTTCCAGGCCAGCTCTCTGCTGTGGCCCGGGAAGGCAGTGGAGGATGGCCCAAGTGCTTGGGTCCTGCACCCGCATGGGAGACCAGGTGGAAGCACCTGGCTCCTGGCTTCAGATCGGCACATTGCACTGGCCGTAGCGACCATTTTGGGGGTGAACCAATGGAAGGAAAACCTTTCTCTCTGTCTCTCTCTCTCTCTCTCACTGTCTAACTCTGCCTGTCAAAAAATAATAAAATTTGTCTTTTCATTCCATTTTCTATGAGCTTTTTGAAGAGCACTCATAGGCACTCAGAGAATGTGAGACTACATTTATTTCCCTCGAAGGATAATCAGTTATTGTCTGAGGGGGTTTATCTTCCACCATTGATGGGGATGAATTATAAATTAGCAGGTCTTGATTCTGGGTTTTGCTTTTGGAATAGTTTTTAATTTTCTGTGACCTTGGATTCTGGCATCTCCAGAAGGGAACGTGCACTTAAAATGCAAATGATGGGGGGCCAGCCTTGTAGTGCAGGGCAATAAAGCTCTTCCTGTAACACTGGCATCCCATATGGGTGCTGGTTCAAGTCCTGGCCATTCTTAACACCAATCCAACAAGCAAACTGTAAACAACACATGATGAAGGCTACTCATCTTTTGGTATCATTTCGGGATGCAACTGGAGATTTCTAATCCTTATGATTCCCCCTTCCCTTAAATTTAAGATTCAGTGAGAAGAAACATCCCCTATGAAAAAACAAAGTCATTTCTCACAAGCACAGTGATAGGAGGATGAAATACAGGGCCTCTGGGTTCATACTGTGGTCGCTATGGGTACACAATGCAGGTGTTAGTATCTCTCAGAAAATTGAAGATGCATTAACTATTTGTTAAAGACTTACTTGTTTTTTATTTATTTTGAAAGAGTTACAGAGAGAGAGAGAGAGAGGAGGTCTTCCATTAGCTGGTTTACTCCCCAAATGGCTGTGACAGCCGGAGCTGAGCTGTATGGCTGTGTGAGAGCCATTCTTACCAGGGGAGGGAGAGATGTCTCCTCATTGTGGTTTGATTTGCATTTCCCTGATGGCTAGTGATCCTGAACATTTCTTCATGTGTCTGTTGGCCATTTGGATATCCTCTTTTGAAAATGTCAGTTTAAGCCCTTGGCCCATCTCTTAACTGGGTTGTGTGTTTTGTTGTGGTGCAGTTTTATGATCACAACAGTGCTGTTGTTGCAATCCCGTTTCACTTATGTGACACTAAGACCCAGGAAGCTTGAGTTTCAAGCTTCATGTTCCAAGAGCAGTAAATAAGAAACCAGTCTCTGACTTCTAGCAGCTGGAATGTATATTGTGTGATCATAGTGTATCCTCCTTGTTGCCTGTTTCTCAACAGAAAAAAACAACAACAAGAAGCAAACATGCTTAAAGTTCTAGGTCTTTCAAATAAATACATAAATTTTAAAATTCTAATTGTGGCAGAGCTCCAAAAATCTCCTCACCACCAAGACTGTGGCTGTATTAATCCAATCTATGTGATTGGGAAGGGCTGGATTTAGAAAGGTATTTGGAGGTAATCTCATTATCACACTGGATTTCCTCCTTGGTTTAATCAACTTTTAAGACATTTGAGCGCCAGGTGCCTGGGGTCACTAGGCTAATCCTCTCCCTGCAGCACTGGAACCCTGGGTTCTAGTCCCGGTTGGAGCGCCGGATTCTCTGTTGGTTGCTCCTCTTCCAGTCCAGCTCTCTGCTGTGGCATGGAAGGCCGTGGAGGATGGCACAAGAGCTTGGGCCCTACACCTGCATGGAGAGTCCAGGAGGAAGCACCTGGCTGCTGGCTTCGGATCAGCTCAGTGTGCTGGCTGTATTGGCAATTTGGGGGCTGAACCAACGGAAAAGGAAGACCTTTCTCTCTCTCTCTCTCTCTCTCTCTCTCTCTCTCTCTGTCTAACTCAGCATGTCAAAAATAAAAAATGAAGAAAAATTAAGAAAAAAAGGAAGTTGTGAAAATTCATCAGGTGTATCTGAAAAAAATGTACAAAAAAAAGTCATTGGAGGGTGTTGGATTGCCATTTGCTTTCTTGTCTTTACAAACTTTTATTTATTTGACAGGCACAGTTACAGAGAGAGGGAGAAACAGAGCTCCTCCATCCACTGGTTCTCTTCCCAGAGGGCCATGGGGGCCAGGGCTGGGGCAGGCTGAAGCCAGGAGCCCAGAGCCTCTTCCAGATCCCACACGTGGTGTGGGTGCAGGAGCCCAAACACTTGGGCCATCTTTTTCTCCCTTCTCAGGCCCACCAGCAGGGAGCTAGATTGGAAGTGGAGCAGCTGGGTCTCAAAGTGGCACCCATAGAGGATGCTGGTGTTGCATGTGGTGGTTTAACCCACTATGCCAAAACACTAGCCTCTGCATTTGCTTTCTACCAGATAGTGAAATCAAACAACAGAAGATGTGGTTGGGAATCCACTGGTGATGACATAAAACTCACTTTTTGAGATTTCCTATTTTTCTTTCAGCAGCCTTGGCACTCAGGATTCTACTTGCAGTGTGGCCACAGACAACTCTCCAAAGAGTCAATTCCCTTGAATTCTGACTCAAGTGTCTTTGGCCGGAACTGAGAATGGACAACAGGTAATATCTTTTTTTCTGTAGTTTCCTTTGAATTTTTTTTTCATTTGCTTTTTCTGACATCAGAATGTTGGAAAGACACAGACATTCTAGGCTGCTTAGAAAGACATAGGCAAATGGGTGAGGGGAGGGAGAAGAATTAAGAAAGTCATTTTAAATTTTCATTGCATTTGGAAGGCAGAGAGAGAGATCTTCCATCTACTGGTTCAGTCCTCAAATGCCTGCAACCATCAGGGCTGGGCCAGGCTAAAGCCAGGAGCCCAGAACTAGTGCACGTTTCCACACAGGTGGTAGAGTCCCAAATAATTGAACCTCACGTGCTACCTCGGAGGGTCTGCATTATGCTGTGTCTCTCTCTTCATGTTTCTCTTCGCCTACCCTCCTCAATTTTCATGAAAAGCTCACCATCTTAATTCTGTTTTCATACTCCTTGCATGAAATGGCTGCTTGCATGCTCAGCATTTACTCAAGTCCCCACTGTAGCTACATTTCTATTAAAATGTCCGTGTGTCTTTTTCTTTAGGGTACATGCGTTGTATTTGTAAACAAAGAACATCCCCTCACAAAGTGCATGGTTTTGTGCAGACGTGGAACAAGAGGACTGGACCTAGTACGTTGAAAGAACCCATCACACAAACAGTGGAAAGGGAAAAGGATATTCAACTGATTTTCATGTTTCAAGGTGGAAAACCTATAGATAAGAGGTTTTTCCCTAGACATTAATATTCTAGAATGTTTTAGACATTATGGAGAAAGACAAAATGGCCTGTATCTGACCTTCTGGAAAAAAACCTGTGTCTTGGCAAACTCTCTCGCACACATACTGAACGGTTGCAGATCTTGCTGGACATCATTCGTCAGAACAAACATCAGTGGCCCATTAAATCGGAAAGTTATTGGGGTGTCATGGAGAGCATGAATGGGTACACAGAGCCTGACAAAACTCCATCTTCCAATGTATGTCGTGTGCCAAGTGCCGAGACCTTCACTACAGAAGAAGGAAGTGGAACAACGTTCCCCCAGCAGTTGCTGGGCAAATCGCCAATGCTTGCCAAACAAGGGTTACCAGAAAAGAAAGATAGGAAGAGAAAAACAACACTGTCGTCCAGTCTAGATACGGATGAAGGCTTCCTGGAAGAAAATGAGAGTGTGCCAAGCAAGAAATTCAAGAAAGATTCCTTGAAAGATCTAGCAAAGGATGGAAGTTCGAAACATGGACCTTCCCTCAGGACCGCCTCTCCTGGAAATTCTCCCCTGGATGAGACTGTTCTTTCTCCTCAGAGTGTGTCTGACAAAAGTCTGCTATTGCCATCGGTACCAGAACGTGCCCAGGACGACCCACAACACGATCAAGACCAATTGTGCCTTGACTCTCACCCAGAGCAACTGCAGCAGGGCTTCCCCAATTTGGGAAACACCTGTTACATGAACTCAATTTTACAGTCACTCTATGCAATTCCATCATTTGCTGATGGCTTACTAGGACAAGGTATTCCATGGGAGAACATTCCTTCTGACGTGCTTATCATGCCTTTAAGTATGTTGCTTGCTTTGAAAGATATTTGTAATCTAGAGACTAGCCAAGACCTACTCAGAGATATTAAAAATGCTATCTCAGCTGTTGCAGAAATATTCTCGGGCAACATGCAGAACGATGCTCATGAATTCTTATGTCAGTGTTTAGACCAGCTGAAAGGCGATTTTGAAAAAGTAAACACCATTTGGAAAACGAGGAGGGAGGCTGGAGATGAAAATTCACCTCCAGAGTTGTTTGCTGGTGATGCTGCCACCAAAGTGTTTGTTTGTCCAGTTGCTTCCAATTTTGAATTTGAATTGCAGGACTACGTGATTTGCAAAGCCTGTGGTCAAGTTGTTGTCGTGATAGAGCCTGGTAATTGTATCTCCATCAACCTACACCCAAAACCAAAAGCATCTCCTTTGTCCCTTCAAAATTGTTTTGATCTTTTCTTTACAACAGAAGAATGTGAGCGCCTCTGTGAAATGTGTAACCACAAGAAGGCTGTGGTGATGCATAAATTTGGCAGGCTACCCAGAGTCTTCATTGTTCATCTGAAACGCTACAGTTTGAGTGACACTTACGCGCTAATGAAGGATGACCAACAAGTTCTTATTCCCAAATATTTGAGTTTATCCTCTAATTGCAATGAAGACACCAGACCACCACTTCCCTTGGATAGTAATGCACCTGTGTTGGACCCCGAAGTACTGAACCTCACCCAAGAGGTTAATTCTGAGAGAGTCAGCCCATGCACATCATCTGTGAAGCTGACCTGGCAATCCAGTGACTCTTCAGTTCTGCATGTTGCACCAGACGAAGATGCTGAACAAAACACACCTCAGAGAATTTGGCAAGCCAGGCCAAGGAGCAGCAGCAGAGTGACCTAGCAAGTGGCTCAAATCTGGAGTCCAAACTGGGCAACGCAAGAGATAGGGAAGTCAGAGAAATGGAGATGCTGGCAGCTGCCTCAGTGATGGATCAGGGAGACATCTCTCTTCTTATGATCTGTGAAGATGAAAGTAATCCTATAAACAACCCAGACAGAGGACTTGAAGAAGTTTATTGTCAAGAGGAGCCTGAAAATCCAGAACCCAAGGACGATGAGAAAACCAGTACATTGGTAGAGTTAGATTTTGATCATGTTAGTGAGTCTTCAAAAGATCTTTGTGACTACGAAAAACACAAGATTTCAGAAGGATTGAGAGGCGTGGTTGAGCAGCTGCACGAATCTGTTACCAAAGACATCGTGGGCATGGAGAAAACCATATCTAAAGTCAAGGAACCAAAAGGAAGCATGCAAATGGGAGATGCTCTTCATTCTTACCGACTGATCAGCGTCATCAGCCACATAGGGAACTCCCCGTGTGCAGGCCATTACATCAGCGACGTGTATGACTTTCAGAAGCAGGCCTGGTTCACGTATAGTGATCTGAGGGTGGCAGAAATCCCAGAGGCCATGGTGCAGGAGGCAAGGCTTCACAGTGGGTACATCTTTTTTTACATGCACAATGACATTTTTGAGGCACTTGTGAGCAAGGCAGAGAAGTCCCAGCTAACCAGCCAACAGGAAGAGGTGTTCCTTCCAGGAGAATAAGAGGGCTCCTGAAGACACAAGGAGCTCAGGACAAAGATCAGGGGCTGGTCTTGTGGTGCGAATGCCAGGCTGGTGGAGTGGCACAGCTGCTTCAGCCACCCCTTGGGAAGCACGTAGCCTATCCTGGAGTGCCAGTTTGAGGTCCAATACCTCTGCTTCTGATCCAGCATTCTTACTAATGTGCCCGGGAAAGCAACAGAAGACGGCCTGCGTCCTTGAGCCTCTGCCACACATGTGGGAGACCACAGTGGAGTTCCTGGCTCCTGGCTTCAGCATGGCCCAGCCCTGGCTGTTGGGGCCATTTGGGGAGTGAGCCAGTGGATGAAAGATCGCTCTCATTCTCTCTGTTGTGCCTTTTACATCAATAAATCGTCTTATATAAAATAAGATGGAAGATCCACAAGACTCATACATAACTCAGGCTAGGTTGCATGATTCTCTCCTACAAGATTAAAATGGCACTTGTCATGTTCTAATGCAGTCGTTTTCCAAGTGTTGCTGTGCAATCAATGTCACAGCAGCAAAGAGGATCTGATCAGAAATGACAATTTTGAGACCTCTCCAATCCAACTGACTCAGAAACTGCAAATGTGGACCAGAAATCTGATGGACATTATGATGCCCATGAACTTTTGAGAAGCACAATCATAGTGTGTAGAGTACCTAGGTTTTATTTTGCTGATGCTGCTGCTGGGGTGTGTGTGTGTGTCTGTGTGTGTGTCTGTGTGTGTGTCTGTGTGTGTGTCTGTGTGTGTGTATTTATTTAAAGGATTTTAATTATAATTTTAAGCTTCTTGAACTCACATATGTCTGTTTTGTAAGCTTATTGAAATAAATACCCAAACAATGCAAGTACCATTAACTGGCTTCCACGTGTGTTTGTAACTCCTCACTGGAACAATTTGCTACCTAGCAAGCAACTGTATTTCCATATCCTCCCAGGAGCTGCAAGGTAGAACTTCAGGCTTACATGAGCAATGCAGTTAATGATATGATGAGGACAGGCACTGTGGCTCAGTGGGTTAAGACACTGCTTGGGGTGTTTGCATCCCCTCTTGGAGTTCCCGGGATTGAATGCCACCTCTGCTTCTGAGTCAGCTTCCTGCTAATACACATTCTGGGAGACAGTAGATACTGGCTGCAGGACTTGGGTTCCTGCCACCCACGTAAGAGAACTGGATGGATGTCCTGCCTCCTGGCTTCAGCCTGGCCCAGCCTCAGCAGCAGTAGGCATCTGGGGAGTGAATCAATAGAAAGAGGATCAATCCATCTCTCTCCCTCCTTCCCTCCCTCCTCTCTTCCTTCCTCTAGTCCCTCGCACACATCACTTTACCTTTGGAATAAATAAATTAAAACTGCAAAAGTGGTTTTATAATTAAACACTATGTAAAATGGGGCCGGTGTTGTGGTACAGTAGGTTAAGCCACTGCCTGCAATGCTAGCATCCCATATACCTAGCTAGAGTTCTATCTGCTCCACTCCCAATCCAGCTCCCTGCAGATGTGCCTGGAAAAGCAGAAGATGCCCCAAGTGCTTAGGTCCCTGCTGCACATTGGGAAACCTGGGTGGAATTCCAGGCTCCTGACTTCAGCTCGGCCTAACCCCAACTCTTGTGGCCATTTGGGGAGTGAATCAGCAGAAAGAAGATCTTTCTGTCTTCCTCTGTCTCTCTGCCCCTGCACCCACCTGGAAGACTCAGATGAAGCTCCAGGCTTCAAACTGGCCCAGCTCCAGCCATTGTGGCCATTGGGGAATTAATCAGGAAGTGGAAGACCTCTCTCTGTCTCTTTCTCTCTCTCTCTGGACCCCTGTCTTTCAAATAACCTTTAAAAAAAAGGAAGGGATGGAGGGAAAGAGGGAGGAAAGAAGGAGGAAATAGTGATGAGCAATCATTTTCTCTTGGTCACACTTCAGTTGGGTTCTTTGCGAACTCACTCATGTTTGGAACAGTACTTCTCAATGTTGGCATGGTTGATTGGTTAGTTCGTACTTTGGTGTAGTGGGCTGTCCTACTTAGTAAGATTTCTGACCTCAATCCACTAGAGATCAGTACAATCTAGTCATGCCATCAAACCCTGTTGAACATCTACCAGGGCTGCAATCACCCTGATTGATGGTTTCTTCCCCCATCACAGTACCCCACATATCATTTGGAGTGATTGAGCAGTACTTTTTACAAGAAGTATTCAAGTCAGTGGGCATGTTTTCAGGATCCACAGCTTTACAAAAGTTTAATCACCTGGAATGAAAGAACCGAGAATGGCCTTGTGAAGACTCAGTGACAAGTACCATTTATGAGGCAGTGCTTGTGGAGGTTTGAACTCTGATGTTCACGAACCTATCTGAAGCGTCATTTCTGCCCTACCCTGGTGTCCCAGAACCAAGGGGTGGAAGCCACTGTGACATTTCCCACTCTGATTCATTGGCAAAAATATTTACCCGCTACTCCTGTGAATGAGGGCTGATTGGTACAAGCACTAATATTCCAGAGACAAAAGCCTACATACACGCATGTAAGTGTTGCATTCTATGGAACAGACTCTGTGTCAGCCAGTCTGCCTTGATTCAGCTTTTCTGTGTTTAAAAAGTAAACAACTCATGTTGGAATCCTAACCTGTCAGTACTTCAGAATGCAACTGTATTTGGCGATAGGATTTTTATAGATATGATTAAATTAAAATGAGTTGGTTGCATTCCTTAATCCTATGTGATGGTATCCTTATAGGAAGAAGACATTTGGACACAGATACTAAAGGAAGATACCTTGAAGATACAGGAAGATGTCGAGACATCTGCCAGCCAGAAAGGCTTAAAACATCCTGCCCTCAGAGGGAACCAACCATGATGACACCTTGATCTTGGACCTCTAGAGTCAAGTGCTGTCGAATTAAATTTCTGTTGTGGCTGGCACTGTGGTATAGCAGGTGGAAGCTGCCTCCTCTGGTGCTGGCATCCCATATGGGCACCGGTTCTGCTCACAAGTGCTCCACTTCTGATCCAGCACTCTGCTATGACCTGGGAAAACAGTGAAGGATGGACCAAGTGCTTTGGCCCCTACCCCCACATGGGAGACCCAGAGGAGGCTCTTAGCTCCTGCCTTCGGATTGGTGAAACTCCAGCCATTGCGGGCATTTGGGGAGTGAACCAGTGGCTGCAAGAACTCTCTCTCTCTCTCTCTCTCTCTCTCTCTCTCTCTCTCCTTCTCTCTCTGTGTTCCTAAACTTTCAAATAGGTAAATGAATTTTTAAAAAAAAAATAAGCTAATTTCTAGTGCTTAGGCCAGTCTGTGGCACAGTTGACCCTTGAACCATGAAGGAGTGAGGAATACTGACCCCCTTGTAGGAAAAAAACTGAGTAAAACTCTCGACTCCCCTTAAAAGCTAACTCCTAAATGCCTACTATTGGCAGGAAGCTTTACCAATAACATAAAGTATCAGCAAACTATGTATGTTATACATATTATATATGGTGAAAAATACGTAAGGATTGAGACATCATTTTTACTTGATGAGTTTATTAGGGAGACTAACTGCTCACATGTGGAAGATTAATGTTACAGGGCATTTCAGGTGGATCCTCACCACACTGGAGCCCACAGTAATAGCAACAAGATGTGGCTAAGAGATTACAGAAGCACCGTATGTGCAAGTTAATTTTATGCAGCTATAATTGAATACTGCACTTTTGTTTGCATTTCTCTTGACTGCGAATGGTGCCATCAACAGTCTGAGTTTTTGTGTGCATGTGTCTTGGCAAAGTTTTACAATAGATTTGGATATTCCATGGTAGTAAAGTACAAAGGAGATGATTATTACCTATACTTCTTGCACTCATGCACATACTTTGTAAAATGTATTTCTAAGTTCTGTGACTCATCTGGGAGCTTTTTCCAATCCCTGTGTAAGAAGAACCACAGAGTTCATACCTGTACTCTCACTACAAGCCTAGAAAACTACCACCACCTCCTTCTGCCAGAGCCAATGCAGGACTAATACACTGCTCGGTCGCTTTGACACGAGCAAGGTTATATGCCTGGTATGGGGGATATTCTGCACAGAGCAGCTCTGGACAGGCACAGCTGTGACAGCACAATGTCTCCAGTAATAAAGATCGGGTCTTTCCTCAAGGTAAACTGCACTTGCCTTCTAGAAACATGGGCACAGGGAAAGGAAGCATGATATGAACAGTTAAAGAAGCCATGGAGACCAACAGTGCTCTCCCACACATGTTCCTATTGACACATGGAGGTCTGGCACATACAAAGGTGTTTAAAAAGTTCACGGAGGGGCCGGC